TCATGAAGGGGAGAATTTCACTGCACACAACTGTGTAGGATGCAATGTTTGGTAATAGTAAAGCCACGATTCTGAGATCTTCAAATTCATGTTATAGTTGAATGAGGTAGAGGAAATCTATGAATTGCAAGCCAACTTAGGGTGGGATCGTGTGGCGTAGCGGTAGCATGTTTGTCTCGAACCCAAACCCTGTCACCAATCTTGTGCCCTTGGGAAAGGCACTTCACACGACTTTCCTCACTTCACTCAGGTGAAAATGAGCATGCCAGTATGATCATTATCATGATCATGGGCATTAAAAAGAAAACCAAACTTACTTACAAGACTAAGAATTCCATGGTTTAATTTCCTTGCAGAGCGACTATGGCGTACCGACGGAGCTTGATGTGAAGCAGACGTACAACGCCATCAAGGAGGACGAGATCACAGTGTTTAAGGGCGAGCTGGTGCAGATCCTGGCCACCAATCAGCACAACATGTTCCTGGTGCACCGTGCCGCCACGGAGGAGTCGCCCGCCGCCGAGGGCTGGATCCCCGGGGACGTGCTGGGGTGTGCCAAGGACGGGACAGACGGGGAGAATGCTACCAAGTAAGGCTGAGGTCACATTTCCAAACCGGGGCCCGGCCGGACAGTCTTAACGAATGAAAAGTATGATAGAAAAGACAACAAAGCACAAAAAAGTTGAAAAATTTAATAATGGGAGCTATTTGCGTATATTCTTCATAGAAATGATAGAGACAAAAAGGAATTCAGGACAGTTTTCTTACTTGTTCTTTCATTTTCCATTAAATAACCTACAGTTTACATATAGGAATGTGTAATGATAAACTGTTATGTAGTACGTAAGTTAAGGTATGATTGTGTGATGTTACAGGAATAAGTCCTGGTTCCACAAGAAGAAACGAGGTGAGAAGAAAGACAAGGCCAGCCCCACCCACTCCAGTAAGAACGGCTACAGAACCAAGTCTAAGGACAAGGATCCTCATGGAACTAAAGTCTCCGTCAAGGTAACAGTTTAACACTTAAAACATTATCTCAATTTGCATTCCTTTTGAATGATTGCCTAGAAGTCATTTCTAGACTTGTCTACTCCTTAAATATGACAGTGACTAACTTCTCAGTTTCGATTGTGTAAGAATTAATTTTTTGCACATGTATGTTTGCTAAAGGAACTGTACTTATTTTTCAGCTGCTGAACCCTAACTACATGTATGATGGTAGGTACACACATCTCTTTGTAAGGCTCATGTCACAAAGTATAAGATTAACTGATCTTTTTTGGAGCGAAACTAATCCTCCAAGTGTCTTCATCTACATTTGCATATTAGAAGCCTAACCCGGCATGTGTATGATCTATTGTGTGATCTTTATTTTGTATTTGATCTCGAATCCAATTAAAGGATTGTACCATCCCGTTTTTGCACAATATAAATCATAGTCTCTTTAAGAGTGTGACTGACAGTAGTAATGATCTATTTGCCTTTGAAGCTTGAAATGTTAACATCCTACTGTTTGTTTCACAGCTGCCCCAGAGTTTCTCCAACAGTTGACCAACACGACCGTCCAGCTCGGTGACCCGGCCACGCTGACGTGCCACGTGTGCGGCCGCCCCCGTCCCTCCGTATCGTGGAGAGGTCCCGACCAGATGCTGCTGTCCCCCAGCTCGCGTTTCAGCATGTCGTACAGCGATAACGGAGACATCCTGCTGCACATCGCCTCCACGGTGCTGTCTGATACAGGACAGTACACCTGTGTGGCCAGCAATGAGATCGGCTCAGTCACTACAGCCGGGATGTTAACAGTACAAGGTAGGTCATTAGAAACTTCATTTTAGGTTTAGGTAGGTCTATATCTAGGAACTTCGGGTTAGTACGTCCAAAGTACTGAGTGATACAGGACAGTACACCTGTGTGGCCAGCAATGAGATCGGCTCAGTCACTACAGCCGGGATGTTAACAGTACAAGGTACATATAGGTCTATAGAGCATATCAGCAGAATGTAATGCACCTGCGCGAAACCCATAATGTACTGTGCATAGCACTTCAGCTACGAAAGTGCTATGAAAGATTTTTTTTGAACATCTAATTATTTTATATTATTTACACATTTTTAACATGGTTATGTCCTTGGTGCTGAAAGCCTTCTGCTACATTGTTTATCCACAGAAGGTGTAAATATCTTCTGTGTGGAAGGTGGGGGTGTATTAGATTGATCTATAAGCCTTAAATCATGTACACAGGCCAAATTTCCAAATTTGTAGCACCTGGTTTTAAAACAGTCTTGTCCATGGTGCTGAAAGCCTTCTGCTACATTGCTTATCCGTTGAAGGCCGGGGTTAAGTTTTTTTTGTAACAGCCCACATGTGTGTGGAGGGAGGGATGTAATGGATTGTGTATTGTATAAGCCTTAAAACATGTACGTGGGCCAAATTTTTAAAATGGCCTTGTCCTTGGTGCTGAAAGCTTTCTGCTACATTCAGCAATGTAAGCCTTTTGCTTACCTACAGAAGGGGTAAAGATCTTTTATAACAGCCTTCCCTATTGGTCCACAGGCCGTCCTGGTGCCCCTGGTAGACCAATCATGAAGGAGAAGACTGCCACCTCTGTGACTCTGACATGGGCTCCACCCAAGGAGACTGGAAACTGCCCCATCTCAGCTTACACAGTGGAGTATTCAGAACAGGGAACTGGTATGTCTACAACTGTGCTATTCTTGTCCTGTTCTGCTTGATTATTGTCCTGTTTTGCTTGCAGTTGTACCAGTTTTAGGAAACATCAGGATAATGCCATGTGTACTTTGTCTGTGTTGTCTCCATGTGAATGCTAAAAAGCACAATGTTATGTACATGTTTTTCTTGCTATCTGCATGTATGTGAGACTCTCTTAAATGCTTGTTACTACATGCACTATCATAATGTCTCTGATTAAACAAGAATGTGTATTGTGACTTGCTTTTCTAACAATGTCAAAGAATGAATCAAGCATGTATAAAAGCATGATTGTTTTTAATGTAAATTGCATGAAGAGCTTAATGCTTCATTTAAAGATAGACATGCTATGAGCATCAGTAAACAACTGGTAATATTGTCACAGAATTGCTAACTTGTGTTGTTAATGGGCCTAGGAAAAAAATGTTGTGTTTTCTGTTCCCCTTCCGACCCTAGACTTTTTTGTGGGTGCAAGGGATGAGCTGATCAACCTTTTCTAGTTCCATGATCTGACACCTGAATGATAAAACGTTGTACAATTGGTTTCTAACATTGACATTGAAAATAAAAGTGTCCTCATGCAAGTTTTACTTTGTTAAACTGTATTGTATAACTTGGACCCCTACGGTATATAGATATCACTGAAGTCTAAAAAGAAAAAACTATAACCCCTACCTACCGACCCTAATTTTTTCAGGACTGAAACAGGAAACACAACATTTTTTTTCCCTAGGCCTTGTCTTGTCTACTTACTCCAACTTGTGTCTATGGTAAATAATTGGGTCTAATGTGCATGTTGAGTATACTATAGAGCCACGATATGCCTGTTTTGTGGTGCATAACACAAATAACAACTGCTGTTCTTCTTACGCCCGCTAGGGGTGGGGATCTGGCAGGCTGCCGTAGCCGTAGCGCCAGAAACCACGCAGCTCGTAGACGACCTCACCCCCGGCACTGTTTACCAATTCCGTGTTAGCGCTAACAATGTCGTAGGCATCAGCACTCCGAGCGAGCCGTCCGAACCCATCACACTCAGGCCCGATACAGGTACCTCGTGTGGGCGAGTGCTTTCGGATTAGATCAAACTTCTAATGTGTAAAACGTGGTGTTGCTTTCATACCTAACACTTTTCTTTCCCCTTTGTTTTCCTTTATGTGGTGTGGTGGTGTGAACTTCTTGATAAGATCACTTCTTTTATATTTGTTAATATATAGTAGAGTGGATTCATTCCTCAAGCTAACTAACTATCTATTACATCACTCAGTAAGACATCTGGAGCCATGTAGTTCCCGTTTAGAACTTTTATTCAGCCTGTCACAAGATTGAGGAATGAATTCTCCCTACTATATACTTTAAATAATTGTTAATATTGTGACTTATATGTGACGTCTACCTTACATGGCTTATGTTGAGTACCTAAATTTATGTAAAATATGTATGTTTGTAATCAAGTCTTTATTTAGCTTAAAGTCAGCTCATATATACATAAATCTGTTGATATAAGTCTGTTGAGATGTGTGGATGAGACTTCAATAGTGGTTGTTTCTTACTGTAAAACATATGTTCTGACTTTTCTCCAGAAATGGTAGATGGAGAGGAGGTACCCAGAATACGATGGCAGAATGACTTCAGCGCATACAGTGAGATTAGTGAAATAGGCCGGTAAGTTTGTCCTACATGTACCTGATGTAGTCACAATGAGAAGGTTGAGAAATTCTATGCCAAGATGTTCTGAATTAAAATCTTCTAAGACATTGTATCATACAAGTAGACTTTTTTAAGCATGATGTTCTGCCGAAATGGACCAAATTTTCACATTTAAGCACTATTTTTAAAATGGTTATGTCCTTGGTGCTGAAGGCCATCAGCTACATTGCTTATCCATTGAAGGGGGTAAATATCTTTTGTAACAGCCTCTCCTGTTGGTTCACAGGCCTTAATAAATGATAATAAATGTGCTGTTATGTCCTTTTTCCCCAGGGGGAGATTTTCAGTTGTGAAGATGTGCTGTCACATGGGGTCCAAGAGGGAGGTTGCCGCTAAATTCATCAGTAAAAAGTACCTGACAAAGGAAGCTGCAGACAACGAAGTGTCCATTCTACAGAGCCTCCAGCACCCCCACCTTAACACTGTCCACGAGGCGTACGATGTAGCTCAGAGCCTTATCATTATTTTGGAACTGTAAGTATTTGACTGCAAACTGTATCTAAGTCACGACATCAGACTTGAGTCTAACATACTATTCTGAACAAGGCAATCTGTATAATATTGACACATACTGTCCCACCTTAGCACATTTGAATCAGTATTTCATACTTAAGGCATTTAAAACTGCAGAAACAAGCCCCAAGATGAGTCCTTTTATTTCCTGGGTGGTACCCTAAAAATCAATCTAGGTCTTCCAGTCACCATTTTTTTGTCAGAATTTGGGGCATTTTTGCTCATTGGGACAGTGTTGTTTCAACTTTGTATGAAGATAAGTGACTAGAATATTGACTTAGAAAAATCTGATTTCCCTAAAGCTGCACTGGATGGCTTTAAAAATGCAAAATCAACCACTGTTTGCTCATACATCTCACTGTGTTGCTGTTTGAGTAAAGAGACTCTTTCTACACAACCAAGTCTTTTATTCAGCCGCCGTTTTGGTGACCGTCTGTCACCTTCTTCAGGGAAATTCTGACTGGGAATGCATCTATAGCAGCGACACCTGTGCTGCAGTGCAATGCGAACCTGTCAGAATCGCCCTGATTTGAATAAAAGACTTGGTTGTGTAAAAAAAAGTCTCTTTACTCAGTGACTTACCACTCTGATGACATTATTTGTGTTTGTTTCCCAGCATCCCCCACGGTCGGTTATTGGACTGGATTGTGCTGAATCACCGTGGCAACTACACGGAGCAGCACGTGGTGGGGTACGTTATCCAGGTCATGGAAGCTGTGCAATACCTACACAACTGCAGGGTGGCGCATCTAGACATCAAGGTACGTCTCACATCTCAATATACAATGTGCAAGAGAAGGATAACTTTAGATCATTAGATAGCTTTAAACAATATTTATAGCTAGACGTTCAAGGGTTAGGTGTAAGAAGTTGTTCTGTGTAATGTAGCTAACTGCCATCACGCCGCGTGCCTGCGAAGTTGGTGTGTTATGCCGAAGGCTGGTTATACCGGCTATACAAATACAGAAAGGTTTGACTCCTTTCAAATGGGCCAATATTTTTTCTCTGTGCGATATATAATTTTACCCTCTTCCTTCTGAACCTGAGGTATCCTTCATAAATAGTACTAAATTTGAAGTTCTGCGAGCCTTTTTCTATAAGTCATAATCAGCATTTCATAATTAGACTATAAAAATTTAACTCTTGCAAGATGTGACAAAGAACGGTTGTTATTTTTGCTGCATTAACGAGGAATAATGTTTTCCATTCCTATAGCCGGAGAACATAATGGTTGATGGTGATAGTCTCACGCCAAAGATCAAACTCATTGACTTTGGGGATGCCAAGCAAATCAGTAACAGGTAAGGAAAACAATGTTAAATACACCTGTGTTGCTACCCTGTCTTGTATAATGCTGGTTGCATTGTATATAAATATGTTTTTTTGGTTATATTGAAGATGTAGGAGATTTCCAGACCCAAATCTATGCTTGTGTCATAGATATATAGCAATCACTGGAGATCATCAGATACAGATTCATGTACAGATAAATGATTGTAACGTTACATATTCATGCACAGATACAGATACATGCAGATATACAGATTCATGCACAGATACATATTCATGTACAGATATACAGATTCATACACAGATACAGATTTATGTACAGATATACATATTCATACACAGATACAGGTTTATGTACAGATATACATATTCATGTACAGATACAGACTCATGTACAGATGATACAGATTCATGTACAGATATACAGATTTTCCGAGTATGATGACCGTGTCAGTCCCTACACCTGAGTGAGGAGGGTTGACTCAGAGGCCTTCGCATGGATTTGTCATAGATCATCATCTCATCTGGTTGTGAGAATTTCACGGATGCTCGAGACTCTTTTCCGCCAGCCCTCCCTATCCTCCATGGCCCTGGGCAGGTCTTCTGGTCTGCAGCCCGCATCCTCACATAGTTGTTGTATGTATGTTGTGCAAGGTCTTCCTACACTGGCATGTCCATTCATAGATACAGCACCTTTCTTTTTGCCCCAGTGCTGACTAGTTTCGTTCTTGTCTCCCACAGTAGATTCTACATCCACAACCTGCTAGGTAGTCCAGAGTTTGCTGCTCCTGAGCTGGTGAACGGACACCCCGTCTGTCTCAACACTGACATGTGGAGCGTCGGCGTACTTACTTATGTTCTGTAAGTCAGACTCCAACTTCTACAAAGTATCTAATACCAGCTCAAAAAAGAACAAGAAATGCCTTCAAGTACCAGAGTTTTCAACCAAGGATTGAGGTGTTCAAAACTCATTCTCTCCTAAAACTATTGCAGCTCAGAAAAGAACAAGAGATGTTCTGTATAAGTCAGCTTCCAAACTCTACCAGCCTTAAATTTTCTCACTAAAGGATGGCATGAGTTTATAAAAAACTCACTTCCACCAAGTATGGTCAGGGCATCATCACATCTAGATAGCTTGAAGTTAGCAGTTAGATGTGCAAAGGGAAGGTGTAATAAGTCGTTTGGTGTAATATGAGCCTGGCAATGTAGCCAGCTGCTGCTACACTGCATGCCTGTGAAGCTGGTATGTTAGCCAAAACGCAGTTATACTGGCTATACAGACACTGATGCACAAAACTTACTGTTTCTCTGTTTGCTGCAGGTTGAGTGGCGTTTCTCCATTCCAAGATGAAAGTGTGGAGGAGACGTGTACCAACATATCCAAGGTGGACTACTGTTTCCCCGAGGAGTACTTCACAGAAGTCACTGACTTGGCCAAGCAATTTGTGGCATCATTTCTCATAGCTGATCCAAGGTACAACATGTGTCATATCTGTTTAGTAGTACATTATGTATTTCTCCATTCTGAAAAAGAGTTTTATCAGTCTTCCTGGTAAAAAACGTAAGGAAAAAGGTCAGCTGATAGACAGTGTTCTTTTGAAAAATCTCAGAATCATACATAAATTGTATACATGTTCTTAGTCTATGTTCATCTACAGTGTAGGTTTGGTGCAAAAGTGTTACTGGACTGTTTAATATGTCACTACTAGAACGACAGCTGTAACTTCTAAAACACATACACAATTTACATTATACACTGTTGGGGGGGAACTACCGTCCAACACAAGGAAATTAAAACTCTCAGAATTCACAGTCAAACCATTGGCCTTCTTTAGTTATTTTATTTAATCTTCAAAGACACCTGGGTAGCTCCTTCAGCCAAAGCTGATTTCCAAGGAGGCCCAGGGGGGTACAATAAGTAAAAGAATAATAAATTATACAAAGTACATAACAAAAGATGTAAATGAAATCAATATAACTGGAAGTTATACATAAATAAATGAATAATACGAAGTTCAACATGAACTGAGGAAAGCTGAGAAAATTTATTCGTAAAGCTGAAGAACTTGGCCTTCTTCAAGGTACTTGATCAAGCTGTCCCAGATACTGTAATTCACTTTATGTTCACGGTAGCAAAAGTTAACAGAAAATGGACATGTTCACGGAACTATATATTCACTGTGGCAGCAGGTGCATGAAAGAGAAAGTCCAGGAATTATTTGTTAACTGTAATGATAAGTTCACGTTACGGAAGTGACAGTGAAAACAGTGAACATAACAGCAAAAATCAGGAATTACAGTGTGCAAATTTACACCGTTTGTTGTTGTTGTGTTTTTCTTGTAGCCAAAGAGCACAGGCTGCTGCTGGTCTGGAGCACCCGTGGGTCCAACACACCAGCTCTGCCGGGCCCGAGGCCGCCCTGGCACACCTGGACACCTCCAGACTAACCGCCTTCATCGAGAGGAGAAGCCACCAGGTAACGTCACAAGTATGCAAATGAGGCAGATCTGTCACGAATATTCAAATTAGCAGAGTCTGTTTTGGATACTAGGTATTATAGACAATACATGTAGGAAATACATTATGTAGACTGATTATGCAGGCTGTCAATTAAAGTACATGTAATGTACTTTATACTCTCTATGCTACTCTATACTATGACTTTTTTTGGTGTGTTCTGTTTTCTGCTTATTTGTGGCCTGTCCTTTTCTGACTCTTCTAGCATTCCTAACACTTTCAACAACAGTGCCTACAATCTTTTATAGGGCAACATTGAAGGCTATGATCACAACATTTTCCTTTTTTATAGATCAAACAAACCTAGCCAGTGAAATAAGTCCCTCGGCATGTAAGAATAGAAAAGCAGAAAGAGGAAAATATTTTGCTTAACTTCAAGTACGTAGATGTAACTTTACATGTACATGTAGATTCCTTTCTTGATTTGTGTTCAGAAGTGGAGCATTTTTAACCTCTTTTTACAATATCCTCCCTACAATGAATGATCCTCCCCATACAATCTTTGGAAAATTTTGTGGCTCAAAGCCAATGGCATGAAGGGGGAGGTCTTGAACTAGAACTTGAACAATATTAATCTTTTCCAAAAATTGTATTTTTTTCTGACCAAAAAAACAGTCTACTGTCTTGTCCAGAAATTTCTTCTCTTCAAGATGAAGAGAATATGATTAAGTATTGGGGGAAAGTTCAAAGTTCAACAGAAGCCATTGGTCAAAGTTCAAAAGAGGTCAATGGTCAAAGTTCAAGGCCTTCCCCTGACCTGTCTCCGGTGCCACCATTAGATGTACCCATTGGTGCTGTCCTTCCAGGACTTAGGGTAGCGCCACCTGACTTGGGACCCAAGAATTGCAGTAAGGTGCTGATACCTTCTTATATCAAGCTGCATTTCTTCCCCCCTTCTTATTCTTCATTGTTATGGATAGATGTAGCTCACTCTGAAGATCACTCTACAACATTAGCCTCCATAGCTTATAGAACCAGGGTTTGGTGGTCTTCGGCTGTTTTACCAGGCCAGCTATGTTGTCTATATGCAATCAGAAAATAGGACATAAAAGCTCCCAAAGACCCTGAAGACTCCCAAAACCCCCAGTTTTTGGCATGCTATGGAGGCTACTACAACATCAGCCCTCTATTAGCATACATACATGTACAACCCTTACTGTTTATCTACACTCAATAGTTAGTGTGTTTTTTAAACCTTTGGGTGTTCAACTCTCAACATCTACAGATTCATATTCCCTTGTTTTCTTCTTTTCCCACCAATGATCTGTTGGTTTCTCCAAGTTCATGTACATTGTATATGCATGACAGAAGTATGCCGTGTGTTGTTACAAATGTTTTGATTGGTCTAGAAGACTTGTAGTTTCTAAAGAAATGTATAGCCATTTCAATGGCAATTATGATTATCATATTACTAATTGTTTCCTTCATAATCTGTAGGTCTTTTCACCACATTTTATAAAGATGATATTAGATTTACAAAAGAAAAGGCCACAATTGCCATGTGTTGGTCCCAAAAGTTTAGGTTTTCATATTGTTTAAAGGGAATGTATATGTGCGTGACTGTGTAATTGTAAATGCTAATACTTGTTCCATGTGTTGTTTCAGAATGATACGAAGCCAGTCCTCCCCATGCAGTCCTTCTATCCTCTGGGCATGACGTCTCGTGTATGAGTTTTACCGGGCTTCAGCTGTCAACAAGTCAACCTTACCAATTTTGCAGTCATAAAGAGGGACTCTTGCTGTACCCACCCATGTCATGAATGGGAGCATCCACAAAGGTATCTGCATTGTAGCAAGATGGACTCAACCACTCATATAACAGGGAGTTGTGCTTGGGTGTACATAAAAGAGAGTGTAAATATATATACAATGTAGCTGTTGTTAAATTGTTACACCTGGTCTGCCGTTGTGTGGTGCTAAATACTTATAATTGTACAATAAATAACATTCTATGGAGGAAAGTAGATAAAATGTTGTTCATGAAATTGTTGGCTTTCCTTCTCTGCAAAAAAAACCTTACCAGGAATGACTTTCTACCAGTCTTTAAATGTTTATTACAGTAAGGCTAACTAATGCAAGTCACTGAAGGAAATGCTGTTGTTTTCATGTTGTTCCTTGTTTGCATTAGGCAAAAGTTTACCACTGGAAAGAAAAATCGCAATTAAACCCTTTTGCACTCTTACTTCACTTGAAACAATACAAATTCAGCACTGTATGTCATCAATAGATATTGAAGGGTTAACATCGTCTTTTGATGAAGCAAGGCTTCCTTCTAGCGAGTCCAGCAAGTCCCTTGAAGTCTACTCTACATGTATATTGTGTGGCTTTGGCATGTTGTATATGTATAGATAGAGGTAAGAAGATTGGGAGAAATTTCGCATACCTCCATGTTCTCTATAATGTCCTTAAGATGTTTTTAATGTAACTTTAAAAAAACTGACTGGAGAAAGTCATCCCTGCTGTAGTCCCTGATCCTCTACAAGATTTAATAACCACATGAGCTAAGATGATATAGATAAAGAAACAATTTGTGAGCTGTACTTATATATAAACTTGTATGTACCCATCACCTTGTTGCATTGCACACAAAAGTTGCAAAACACGTTTTATTATGATCCTTAAGTGCCATCCTGTCTTGTACAATGTTGGTATTACACAAAGAATTTAGATGTTTTTGGCATTGCCTCAGGAGTGGAGCCTGTTTATATTGAATCTCTAGCTTTGAAGTAGATAGGAAGCAATACAATGTCACTGTGTCAGAAATCAATGTATGCACCTTATTTATTGGACAGAACTTTTTATGCCAATCAAGATTGTGATCATATACATATAGGTAAAGAAAATCTTAACAGTGGTGTACGTTAGATAGTGTTACAGCTTTTCACCTCAAAGCATTTTTCAGAGGGACATGAAAATTATATATACAAATGTCGTTTACTGCTATGGTCGGATTCACATATCGATGGTACTATTTAGATATTTAGAATCACAATCATGGTAAAAGCACCTTTCACTTTGTTGCATCCTCTGCATATAGGCAGTAAGTAGATTTAATCGTCACAAGAGTAGATAGTAGCCTGTAGTCGATGCTATCACCATTTTTTTTGTTGTAAAATTGTATACTTGCAATGATCAACAATTCCAGAGTGATGAGTCCGTCAATAATCATGACTCCTCAATGAAAGGTACAGACGTGTCCATTCCAAGAAACCAGAGCAGTGTAGTGTACAAAGATATTGTGAGTGACTCATGTTTACGTAGGGTTACTCCAGAGTTGTGAAAGTACCGCATTTAGCTGGCAACTGTGTTCCCGCGTGCGCTATGTTTGTTACTGTGTGGAGCAGCACAAATTTCCACGTTTCTAAAATGACGAAAACTTGGTTTTCAGCTACTAATAGGAACTCCATTATAGGAACTATGTAAGCTGTATGTTAGCTTTTTGTACATAACTTACTTCAATGTGAGGAGATCTCTTGAAGAGCAGTGTCGTGGCATAATTATTAGGTATAGCATTGATAGGTAGTGTGTAGGTATTGTGGATATGTAAATGTAAGTTTTGAATGTCAATATGAAAACATTTAACCTGTAAATTTTACTCAAATTTTGTATTTGTTCCTCTTATGTACTATCCGGAAAAAAATATGTTTTTAAGTGCAAGTTCATTCAGTCAGTCTTGCTAGGCTAGATAGGACATTGCAGCTGTAGGCAAACTTTTGTTCAAACTGGCATATTTACATATGGAGAAATATATTTTGTTTATCATGAGTTTGCCATACTATGCAATTGTTTGTCATTGAAGCTATACTCAAAATGTACTTGCAGTGGAAGGAAACCGTTCTTTTTAATCGCAAATATGTTGCAAATGATGACAGAATTTACACGTTGCCCAGAATGCTGTAGTTATCTGCGGGATGCCTCTACTGTGTCACTTTGTTGTCTGATGCCGATGTGTTCTTTTTAAAGAAAAGGAGCCCAATATCTCTCTCTCTGCATGTATTTGTGATGAGGTAATTTATTAAAAAGTCACTGCCCATGTACATGTGTGTGTGTGTTTTACTTTTTACTTCAGGGACGGGAGTATAGTTTTTGGTCGAAACTGATTTAGGGGAAGTTTGTATGTTTTATCAAGCATAAACCATAGTGTGATAGCGGGATAAGTTACGTCATGCAATCATTTGAGTTATAATCCATTGTATGATGTAATTCAATTGGGTAGTTTTGGTTAGATGTGGATTAGCATAGTTGGTTACACAAAGGGAGAGGTGTTAAAATAATCATAGAATAATTTACTATCTTACTCTTCCAGACAGAAAGATATTTCAACGGTCAAATTAATTTATCCAAAACCCGTCCATTTTTATTACTATTAATTGTTAATTTGGGGGAAAACATAACAAATCAAACATAAATCCGACAGTTTGAGGCACCAAGTGTTGAAATCGATATGGATCAAAAGCGCCCCCTAGTCACCAAAATGTAATTGCAGTAATAGGTGCAGCAGTGGAAGTCACCAGGTGTTGAAATCGCCATGGATCAAAAGCGCCCCCATAGCGGCCAACAAAAGTACTACAGCAATAGGAGCAGCAGTGGGAGTCACCCGGTGTTGAAATCGCCATGGATCAAAAGCGCCCCTATAGCGGCCAAAAAAATCACTGCAGTAATAGGAGCAGCAGTGGGAGTCACCCGGCGTTGAAATCGCCATGGATCAAAAGCGCCCCCATAGCGGCCAAAAAAAATCACTGCAGTAACAGGAGCAACCTAGCCAACGTTATACTTATAGGTGCCTATTCCAACAGGTTGCCGCGTCAATTAGCTCCAAGCCCGCGGAAGCTCGCGGAAGCTCACCCTATCCACCCTATCGAATGCGATCCACCCACAGGCGGCTGATGAGCCGGTTAGATTTACCCTGAGAGCCAAGCCTAAAATATATACACCCCGACCAATCTAATCTGGACATTGCTCCGAAATTGGTACATTCCTCACAAAATCGGACATTCCTCCAGGTTTGAGCGTACACTCCTCCAGGTGAGCGGACGTTCCTCCAGTTTTGAGCGTACATTCCTCCAAAATCGGTACACTTCTCCGCGTGATTGGATATTTCGCCGACACCCCCACCGGCCCGTGCAGGGGGCGTGAGGCGTGCGTGTTGTCAGGGCAGGTGAACACCGGCGCCGCAGCGTACGCTCTCCGCGCGCGGCCTCACGAGTTTGGCTCCCCGGGGTATTTGGGTTAGCGGGCCAGGTAGAAATCGCCCTCGGCCCGCAGTACTCTACAGAGTCGCAGAAAGGTTCTAACTTTTGCTAGCGAAATAAAAGTAAGCTAGGCGCCGAACCACCCCGACCAATCTAATTTGGACATTGCTCCGAAATTGGTACATTCGTCCTCACAAAATCGGACATTCCTCCAGGTTTGAGCGTACACTCCTCCAGGTGAGCGGACGTTCCTCC